AATACAGAAATGCCCTAGTCAATTTAGCTCAGTGGATAGAGCGTCGTCCCATGGAATGAAGGGTCACAGGTTTGATTCCGGGTCAAGAGCACATACCTTGATTGCAGGCTCAATCCCCGGCCCCAGTCAGGGCACATGCAGAAGGCAACCAATCATGTGTCTCTCTCACATTGAGGTTGCTCTCTGTCTCTCCCCTTCCCTTCAACTCTCTAAAAAGCAATGGAAAAATATCCTTGGATAAGGATTAATAAGAAAAATAGAGATGCCCAGACAATGTGGCTCTCAATGGTTGAGTGTTGACCCATGAGCCAAGTCACAGTTTGATTCCAGGTGAAGGCACATGACCAGGTTACGGGCTCACTCCCCAGTAGGGATGTGCAGGAGGAAGTCAATAGATTATTATCTCTCATCACTGATGTTTCTCTCTCTCTTTCCCTCCCCTTTCTCTCTCTAAAATCAACAAAAACATGTTGTTTTTAAGTTGATGCTCTCCCTCCAGGGAGCAAACCCATGTCATTCTCTTCTCCTTCTTCCCCCACAGGCATATATCCCCTAACTGCTAAGGGACCCCAAGAGACTTGCAACCAGGAGAGCAGTGGGCAGCAGAGCTCGTACCGGCTAATCCCTGAACCTGGCTCCAAGACCCCTTTTCTCTGACTTCCCAGTGAGCCAAAGCAGCCCAGCCTAGGCTCTCCTTTGCTTCCATGCCTTCCTTGTTTCACTGTCCTAAATATATTTTTGCTGTGGTCAACAATTCTTGCTTTTTTTTTTCTAAATAAATAAAAGCTAAAAATTAAAAAAAAATTAAAAGAATACAAGGAGATAATTTATTCAAAGCACCTAGTTCAGCAGTTTAATAAGCAGCAAAGACATTTAGTGATTACTAATCCTTCCCTGTGGAAGAGGCAGCCCAGCGTCTGTGGTTGGAAGCACATGGAATCCAGTCAGAAGCTCTGGGCGCCCACCTCCCACCCCCCATGTTTGCATTGGTCACCTAGGAGCTGTGTGGACTTAACAAGGCATTCTTCTTTCTTTATAAAACAGAAATGATCATCTCTGTAGGCGAGGGCCAAGCCAGGTGGTTGGCACAGCACTTAGTAAAATGGTGATGATTATTCTTATCAGATCTTTTAAAGATTTCTGAAAAGGAAAGAACAGTTCTTTAACTAATTCAAAGAACTCAGAATGTAGTAATAAGTACAGAACACAAAACAATAACAACAGGGATCATTAAGTTCCAGGTCCTTCTAGACAAGCAACTGCCAACTGGTGACCCACAGGCCAAATCTGGCCCTGGATAACTGCTTAGCCCCATACAGTATCATATTGGTTGTTTAATTTGCATTAAATGCCCCTGATTTTCATTAAAATCCTAATTTCAGGCTTTTCTCAAAACTCCAAAAATTATCATGCCCTTTTGGTGAGACAAGTACCATTCAGCCTCCCACCACACCCCCCACCTGTCCCCTCTTCCCTGCCAGCCCTCACCTAGCCTAAGTCACTAGTTGATTTTACTGGCCTGGCCCCTCTAGGCATTGTGACTGGCTTATCTAAAGACAGCTCATCTGGGAAAGCATTCCAGATCTCCTGAGACACTCCCTCCCAGAGGCTCACCAGATCATAAACCCTCCCAGTCAGTCCGAGTCCTTTTCTCCTTGACACTCCTAGTTCCTCAGGTTCCTTATCCTGGTGCACACCTTCCGAGATTCAGGGCATCGCCTCCCCCAATTACCACCTTGTCCGCTGGATTACCTACACGAAGCATTTTCAAAAACAAAATACCTACCTTTTTAGCAAGACTACAAAAGATATGACATGGTGTCTATTGTTTGCGAGACCAGCACACCTCCTCCCCTTCTGCTGGCAATGGCATCAGTGCTCCCGACTCAGTCCATGTGATTCAAGTGGGCCTGACTCCATTCCCATTTCCAGTCAGAAACACTGGGTGTCATTCCTGGGACTTTGGCCACGGTGACTGGGGGGAAAGTATTCTCTATCCCCCTGGGACTTGAACTGAGGATGATGGAAGACGGGGATCTCCTTGGGGACCCAGCCTGACAGAGAGGAGCCTCTGGACCCCAACCAGCCTGTAGCCATATTACTTTTGCATTCTTTGATCACATAAAAGCCAGTTAATTTCCATTTTTACTTGAAGGACATTTAAACTGAGTTTTCTTACAACCAAAAGAGACTTATCAAATAGATGAAATTGAAAAAAATTCTTGAAAATGGAGGGGGGGGGCGCTCTGCTCAACGCCCCCCCCCCCCCCCAATTTTTGTTGTCTCCCCTCCATCCAATAAGAGCTGGGTTCTGCTCTGAGTGGTAGCATCCCTCTAGCCTAAGTCACTATACACCATGAGATAAAAACTTATAATTATTTTTTGCTTCAATTATTTCACAAATCTATCAAGCTCCTTCACTTTTGATTCTTTAATATTTTGCCCAGTGGTACACAGTTTGTGCTTAACAAATGTCTGCTGAATGGATGGTCAGCAAAAGGCAGGTGGACAACAGGAACCATCGTAACTCTCTTCCTGGGCGGTCCCTGTCATGAGAGTACCTCAGAAGCCTGCCTCTGTGATGCACAAACCACCTTCTGAAACAGACTCACCCACCACTGTAAACAAGTTGCATCATGAGAACTCACTCCTTCCAGCCATTACTAATCCTCCCACATGTCATCCCATGGAATCTCACTGTGGGGTTACACACAAGGTCCTAAGTCTGGGAAGAGAATACTTCACTGCAAGACAACATCTAGAACTCTGACTTGGAAACCCACACAGTAGGCATGGCAGTCACACATATAACTTCATTCATGGGGTCAGGGGGGTCCTCCTTTGCTGTCTATACTTCATCTTTACCCAAATATACCCAGAATCCTGATGCTGATGGCCACCCACCATCTGCTTCCACAAAATAACAATTCCAGGCTCTCTCCTGCCTTCTTTTTTTCCTCCCTAGTCCTTTCTAATTACATAAGTGGGGGAAAATATATATCTAGGAAATCAGCAGCTGTAAAGCAACAGGTTTCCCCGTAAAAAGTCTTGACTTTGGGTGCATAATTGCCACACCCTTAATTGCTCTGTAATAGCTGCAGCTTCCACTGGCATCTAGCAATTAAGATTTTCAAATAGTCAAAGGTCAGGGCCAGAATGGCAGTCCTAGTATGAATCACCATCGCCTTTATCCAGTTCTCATTTTCCCATACTTGGGCCCACACCACCAGAGCAATCTAGTAAGAACTAGATTGACAGCAGACTAACTATGTGCTGAGTATCTACTATTGACAGGAAGCACAGCAGCCCCTGGAATCAAAAGAGTAAGTCATAGCAAGGCCTCTCAAGGTGTGCAGTCTAATGGAGAACGCGGACAAGAGGCAATTACGTTACAGAAAAACAGGTGCTGCGTGGAGTTATGAAAGCACCAGGAGGGAAGGCCAGTCTGTGTTGGAGCATCTGGGAGGGCCTGTTAGGGGCAGGGACCTTTACCAGGAGGCCCAAAGAACAAATAGGAGGTGGTGGCTGTAGGGCAGGTGTGCTGAAAAGGCTTCCAGAGAGTTCCAGGCTAACTGGTGAGAAAGCGAGGCCTCAATGGAAACTGAAAGTAGACAAGTGTGGCTGGAATCTACATGTGTGAAGAGAGAAGCTGCCCCAGCGGAAGCAGGGGCCGGAGACCTTGAGTGGCTCAGCAACTTTAAAAAGCCTCCCAGCTTCATTGAAGAGCAAACATCCTTTGCCTGACAGTGTACCAGCCGGCCAAGACGACAACCTGATAAATGTATCTGGACTCTCCCGAAGTATTGATTTCACAGTTAGCCCTCACTACCACTATGTCTACCTCCCCCCATGTCTACCATTTTCCTACAAACAACAGGAAAGCAGGCCCATGGAGAGGACAGGGAGTCACTTTGGAAATAGGATAAATGCACACCACGGTAATAGGGTGGGGTGCCAAAAAACTGAGCTACGAACCTAAGCAAAAAGTTGAGGGAAATGAAACAGTGAAAAGCAAATTTGGAAAAGTCAAGAGGAAGTAAAAGTATTTTTATACACACAAAAGAAAGAAGTGTCCCCACGTGCTTTGGCCAAACTGAATCCCCCAACCCCTTTCACTCAACTGTCTTGAGAAAAAAGCGAAAGCTGTGAAAAATTCGCACTTTCATATCTCATCACAGAATGAGCAGGAAATCGGGACAGTCCAGCAACCGCCCTGGAAGACCTTGAAATAGCTGCCCCAGAAAATGCCACGCACGTCAATCACCTGGAGAAGCTCCACAAACCACAAACCACTCCCGTCCCAGCACCTGGTCATCTGCACAGGCTGGGTGTTCTGTCACTTCAGAATAACTGCAACCACCATGGATGGTGTCGGGAGGGGTATCACCTCGTTAGGTTTATAGGTGTGTAGTCACTGTACTTTAAACCTGGAACTAATAACATTGTATGCCAACTGTAATTGTAAAAGGAAATATAAATGCTTAAGTCAGTAACAGTGCTTCTACGCCAAAAGTTGAGAGTTTTAAAGGGTCGATGCTTATCTGGTGTTAAAGCAGAACCAAAGACACACTGGTAAGTATCTGCTTCCAAATCCAAAGTGAGAAAGAGGTCTTATAAAAGGTGTGTTGTTTTTTCATTGAGCCACGGCGTTTCCTCCCAGTTCCCAACGTGTGCAAGTCAAGACGGCGGTGCCAGCCTCCCGTGCCCGTTCGCCAGGTTTGGGGACACAGCACCCCGAGTCCCCGAAGGGCGGAGTGAGGCTGGCTCAGCGAGGGGCGGCGGCAGCGACCGGTCCCCGCGGAGGGCCATCGCGCACGGGCAGGGACGGGCTGTCCGGGCGGCCCCCCTGGAGGCTGGGGACGCGTCCCAGGCAGGGCGCCCCCTGGCCCGGCCTCCGGGCAGACCCCGGGGCTGAGAGCCCGCAGCGCCCGAGGGGAGGCGCGGCCCTCCGCCGGCCGCCGCCCCTCGCCCCGCCGCCCCGCCCCCCGCCGCGCACTCGCCTGCCCACGGTCTGGTTGGCCAGCTGCTTCATGCGGTTGAACTGCTTCTTCATGGCGGCGGTGGGGCCCGGGCTCAGCCGGCGGGACGCGGGGCCAGAAGGGCTGCGGCTCCTACATCGCTTCCCGGCCGGCGGCGGCGGCGGCGGCGACTCCCCAGCCTGGGCCCGCCCCCGCGCGTCACTTCCAGCGGCGCCGCCCGCCGGCCGGGACTGCGCCGGACGCCGGGCAGCCGGGCCTGCGCACGAGCGGCTTCCGCCCGCCCCGCCGGAAGCCCGCCCGCCGGAAGCCCGCCCGCCGGAAGTCCGCCGCGTGCAGGGCGCTCCAAGGGTCCCTCACGCCGCCTTGAGTCGCTCGTGCAGCCCCCACTGATGGCTTTCCCCTCTCCCCCCAGTTTTTCTTCTGTTTTTCACACCACAATTATAAAATACTTTTGTTTTACATTTTTATACTAATGTAGCAAAAAGGTGGGAGGAAAGGGGAGGCAGTGTACTTTATGCCTATAAATGGGGTGAGGGCAGAGGCGGAGGCAAATAAAACAACTCGCTCTTCAAGGAAAGAGTTTTGATACCAAAACGTGGTGGGAAGTAGGCCTTGGAGTCTAGAAGGTCGTTAGGTTGTTTTAGCGGCTTTATTCTCAGGAGGCATGGTGCTGTGCGGGTCAGTGATGCAAGTTGTGTAACCTTTCCCTGAAGGAAGAGAGCAGAAAAGTTTCCTAAGAAAGGAATCTGAGTGTATGACATGTCTGGCTTAGCATGAAGCAGACATGTAACATTGCTGCTTTCTCTTCAAAGCCTCCAAGAGGTCATTCTGTGGTAGGCAGTTAGACAGACATGAGCAGAGCAAGGACCATGGGCCACGGTACAGAAGATCACCAGGGTGGAAGCCCCAGTGCCTAGCAAAGCACAATTGTAGGGTGGGGCCTTTGCTCCCAAGGTCCTGTGGTTTGGACCCCTTGACCTTTGGATAACATCTAGGCCTCAGTTGTATTTCAGCTCCAGGCTCAGAAAAGCTGCAAAACCAGACCAGTGACCCCACAGCTGCCCTCAGGACCAGCTGAATTGGACAATGACCCCCCTGCTCTGGCGCCAACCAATCAGTGGAGACCTAGACCTGAAAGGACACACCTGGAAAGCGGCTGAATATTCTATTACTATTTTCCCCTGGAAACTTCCCTAAAATATCCACTTTTAAAACCTTTAGGATGGAAGTGCTCTTCCTCCTAAGAACAAGCCTGTGCTTTTCCCTTCCTTTCCCCTTATGCCTGCCTCCACACATCACCTTTACCTTCCTCACTTCCAGCTCCAAGGACCCTTCCTTTACCTTTATAACATGTTTCCTAAGCCCATTTCTTCTACAAATTACTTCTCCCTCTGTGATTTTCCAAATAACTGTTCTCTTATAATTTGAGTCTTGTCTCTGAATTCTTTCCTAGCTAGAGCTCAAGTACAGAAGTTGCTGAACCCAAGTCTAGTCTGACCCCACGTGGTCAACGCCTGGTACCATTCCGCTGCCTACAACAGTTCTTAAGAACTTCTTCTATTGATTTTCCTGAAAAACTGCACATACCTCAGCCCATTTATGATGTCCTTTGTTTTTCCAAAGTAGATCTCATTCATACTTCTGATTTTGTTTTTCACGTCCTCTATGAGGTGCCTAATATTGGCCATGTATGGGGAGCATTCGCTCACAGTTCTACCTTTATCCCTCTGTCTGGTAAGGCTGTCTCAGAGGTTCTGGTGCCAGAGCCTGATTTGTTGGTAATGGGCGGTTTCTCCTTTACTTTCACTATGTAGATGGAATCCCAGAAGCCTTTGACCTTTAATCCCACCCCATCCTTCTTTATGATCCGTCCAACAAAACCACGGTCCAGATCCCAGAGGTAGACAGAAGAGATACCACCTTCAAAATTCAGGTCACCATAGTAATCAAAGGGCTTGTTGGTTTCCACCTCCAGCTTTCCTGGTGGAGAGAAAACATGGCCTCATCCTCCAAAGGAAGGCCATGCTTGTTGCCCCTTGGTAGCTTACAAAAGTCCCCATCTCTGCGGTAGTCACACAAAAGGTAATCCTTTCCCACCCCTTTGTCTCTGGTGATTTTCAGTGGCCGGTCAACAGAAGACAGGAGGACCAGGTACATCAGGTTGCTGAGGTTTTTCTGGATTTGCTATGGATGCAAGCACCTCATTAAGTCCAAGGCACTGTCCACTGCTGATGACTCATAGTGGCAGTGCCGGATGGCTTTCTCCCCCACAGCAGAGCCCAGCACATCCACTTTTCCCAGTGCCCAGGAGTGGACATCCCTATCAGGGCTCACCTTCTTCCTAGCTGTGGCCATTAGTGGTTTTCATTAAATGTACTGCCAGCGATGCTAGTTAATGTTATGTAGGTTTCAGGCGGACGGTGTAACTTGGCATCTATGTCACCACCTAAATCCACTTTCCTTCTGTCACCTTGTATTGGATGCTTTTGCCCACTTATTCCCTGCGTGGATATGAAACACATGCTGGCCAAAGGCAACACCAGGGCTGCCATGGCCCCCCACCCCTTCTCTAAAACTCGGGTGATTCTTGGCTGATTGACCCCCTCCAGGCAGGACTGTGAGTGAGGAGCCATTGCCCGTCCTCCCAGGTTACTGCTGGGCAATCAGACACTTGTCCAACGGCACTCACTGTTGCTCTTAAGGTGACTGTGTGTTACTCAGGGAATTTTACCTCAAATTTTTATTGAAAAAATATGGTGACATGGGTATCAAGCTTCATGACAAAGTCAAAGGCATTGTGTGTGTGTGTGTGTGTGTGTGTGTGTGTTTAATGATTCTTTTTAAAAATATATATATATTTTATTGATTTTTTACAGAGAGGAAGGGAGAGGGATAGAGAGCCAGAAACACTGATGAGAGAGTCACATCGACCAGCTACTTCCTGCACAGCCCCCACCAGGGATGTGCCTGCAACCAAGATACATGCCCTTGACTGGAATCAAACCCAGGACCTCCCAGTCTGCAGGCCGACGCTCTATCCACTGAGCCAAACTGGTTCCAGCGGCATTGTGTGTTTTATAGGAAAAGCATTGGAGGTATGCCTCCTGGGCAGCTGTCACTGTGGTGGTGTGGAGGTGGAAGAGGCAGGGCAGCACGAGAACAGTCATAGAGGCACAGGGGCCAGCAGAGGCTCATGAGCTGCATCATCGGACAAGGGCTCTATGTCAGGCCCAGGCTAGGCCTCAGGGTACCCAGGCCCCCCCCCCCACCTTCCTCCATCCCTGAGCCATTGCCTGTCAAGACATCGTTATGATTTACTTTACTGTGACTTAGATCCTTGGGCAGAAGTTCCATGGAAGGGGGTGTTGTTCCATAAATGGGCTGGATGCTTTTGGCAAGAAGACCAGGTCAGTCCTGTGACCCATAGCGAAGTCTTCCTGATATGGTGGCTTTGGCTGTGGCTTAGGCCACTCCCCAGGGTTTGTGGCAGTGTGGCTTACTTCACTGGCCACATCCCTAACTTCAAAAAGAGGTGCTAATCAAGGAAATTGAAAAAAGAGGAAGAGTCTCCTGATTCTAAGAGAAAGGATGCTGAAGCCATAAAAGCGACCTTAAGATCAGAGAATCAGAGACTTGAAATTCTTTGTTGTAATTTAGATCAGAATATAAAACATCAGAGCTTCAACTAAAGCAACAAACCGCTGCTTACTCACATCAACAATGACAGAAAGACATAGAAACCAAATTCTGAAAGGAAGACATCATGCTGAAAGGATTGGCTGTTGAAGCTGCAGCCAGCCACTCAGTAAATAGGAAGCTGGCCTGTATCACCTTCATTGACTTATGGTACCAACCATCTTGCTTCAGCTTACAGGGGAGATGACATGGCCTTGCTGACCTGATTCATCACTACAAGAAAAAAAACAGGTTGTTCAATGAAGTTCAAGACTTGAGGCTGAAATGAGCCCTTGGAGGCATTTTATGCAGAGCATGAGGCACAAACTGCTTTGATCACAATGAAATCTGATCTGCAAAGTAGCATCAAGGAACCTCAACAGAATCAAAATAAGGAAATTGATGACCACCAACTTGTAATGGCCATACTGCAAAATGTTGATCCACAGAAACTGGCAGAAATAACTCATGGGCACCAAGAAAAAAAAAAAGAGAGAGAGACTATAAAGAAATATTGAAGCCCTAGCAAGTTTTGCTCAGTGGGTAGAGCATTGGCCTGTGTACTGAAGGGTACCAGGTTCAATTCCAGTCAGACATGTACTTAGGTTGCAGACTCAATCCCCAGCCCTAGTCAAGATGTATGCAGGAAGTAACCAATCAATGTGTCTCTCGTCATTGATGCTTCTATCTCCTTCCCTTTTCCTTCCTCTCTTAAATCAATAAAAACAGTTTTTAAAGGAAGGATTGAAGAACTGGAAGAACTAATATAGCAGGGTGGCAAACCACAATAGAACAAATAAAAACTCAGTTGTCTGAAAAACACACACCACACAACACATTCAAGCAAAGCAACCTGATAGTTTTCAAGTAAACAAAAGTTTAGAGTCCTAATATAGAAAACAGAAGTGAAAAACATGATTTATCTCAAGACAAAGCTGAGAGATTACTGAAAGAAATAAAAGAACAAGAATTGGAGATTAGACTTCTAACTGAAAAGAATAGCCCTTTAACTAAACAGATCGATTAGCTGTCCAAAGAGGAGATTGGTAAATTAATTCGGAGTTCCCAGCAAAAGAAATTAGAGCTATAAGGTCTTCACACTAGATTATCTTCAGCTTCCTATATCCAGCAACAGATGAGAAGACTATGGAAAACAGCAACCTAAAAAGGGAGTACCACACTAATAGATATCATTGATGCCAAAGATGCAGACACACAAAGCTACAAGATGAGAAGAAAAACTGTCTCCTGGATTTGAAAGTGCTGGTCAGTTATGTTTAGAAAGACCATCATTTATCACACATAATTTGAGAAGAAAAAAATACACATTAAGATCGACACATTAGGGCAGACTGTCAGACTTGACTGACAATTTTGCAAGCATCCAGCATTAGTAACA